TATATTCTCGACTGAATTTGTTATCGGTGTTGTTTCTCGAGTGATTTTTTTTTACTTTGGGAAATTATCACTGGTACACTCCAGCTTTTGGCTTTTATCTTTGGTACACCTCATTAAATTTTCATTATCAGCGGTACACTCATAATTAACACCTAAATAATATAGTAACTAAACCGTTAAACAAACATTAAGTGAGGGTAAATGACAGGGATTTTGTTTAAACTTGACTTGACTAAAATGCCTCCCACTCAATAACTCTCCTTCCAAGCCCAGCTGTATTCATTTACTCCAAGGAGTTTCAGGCTTGCTTTGTGGATTTAAAAAGGGTAGTGGTTATCTCTTGTTGTAAGTTCTGAATTTTTTGGTTTAAATTGCTAGGTTTTAGATGAAATTTGCAAATTCTAGTGAATGGTTGAATTATGTACTGTGGATTGGTCGAATTGTGCTCTAATGTTGCTTAATTTAGCCTTGGTTTATGTTTGTTTTGCATATGAATATGTATGCTTGCTTATTTTTGTACTCTTTTGACTAACTTTATTCAAAATTGATGCCTTTAGTTTGCATGCTATAGTGTTACTGATTTTTGATTATTTTAGGTTTATATAAGGAGGGAAATGTTGGAGGAAAAGGTTGGAGGGAGATTAAATGGGAGGGCTTTGAGGTCTTTTACTCTTTTTTTTTTCAATTAAAATGTGTTGTATTAACAACTAAACATTTCATTAACGGTGTAGTTACTGCAGTAATTAGATGTTAATTATGAGTGTACCGCTGATAATTAAAATTTAATGAGGTGTACCAAAGATAAAGCCAAAAGCTGGAGTGTACCAATGATAATTTCCCTTTTACTTTTTATCATCCATTAAGATTTGTGGTTCATCAAGTTATCAATCTATTTTCTCGACTGAATTTAAGTACCTTGATTATAGTTAGACAAGTTTAAGACTAATTTTTAATCACAACATATGTATGTGTTACAATATTTTCTTGTGATTGTCACTTGCTAGTGACAATTGAATTTTCATAAAAACTACACTCTAATAATCGCTATGACTCTGTTTTTATAGTTTTGCTAATATTATGAAGTAAATTTATGATAACTCCCCCCTCATCCTTTTATCACTTGTCTTAAAGTTTATTCATCGCTTTTTCCTTCATCATTGTTGTATACACTCTCTTTCCTTCTCCCTATCTCACTTGCCTTTTCTATCCATCCCTTACTTTCTCCCACCTTATTGTTCCTTCTTCTCCATCTCATACATTCGAAGGAATTGTAATTGCGGCTTTCTTTCTTAACGTATTAGTAACATACTAACATTGAATTCCTTGATGAAATAATTAAAATAGTGGTATCTCACGCAGCCAAAGGTCGAGGCTTCTTGCATAGAAGGGGAATTTACAACTTGTTGACTTGTCAAAAAATGATTTAGAAGAATTAACAAAATATAACCTCTTCTCATGATTCAATTTTCTCATAAGATTGTCAACAAAGGACAAAGGGCAATCTAGTATTCTGGTAAGATAAACAAAAGGCACCCAGATATAAGATGTTCTCATCACATACCTGTCAATATTATTTTTGCTAGTTGTCTCTTCATGGCAACCTCTTCATTTTCCTATACCACCTTGGTAACTGCCAAAATAAACAATGCAAAATATCAACTACACAGCAAAAGAGTGAATTAAGAATAATCTTTGAAATTTAAAACCACAAATATGTCCTGCGTATGTATTATGAAAATTACAACAAGAATTCCCCATTCAAACTAAACCAATATAAGCAACCGACAATTAACAACTAAATAGCTAAATAAATGCACAAGATACAATTGCAATACACAAAAATGACAAAAACAAAAAAGTAGTACCTTTGCTCCGACGTTCACCAATGTGTCCTCAATAAATATCTTTTTTTAATTGAGCTAAGAACAACCTCACTGATTTGTTTTTGAGGTTTTTTTTTTTTTAGTTTATTGGAAGCAATTAAGCTAATGTTGTGTATACTTAATATGCTACATACTGTTAATGAATATGAATAATGAAGTGGTTAGTGTTTTGAAAAATTGAATGTAATACTCCCTCCGTTTTTAAATACTTGCTCCATTTCTCCATGCGCGGAGTTTTAGGAGAAATTGGAGAAAGTAATAAAATATGGAGGTAGTGGGATAGTTGAGAAAATATAAAATTGTAAAAATGAGAAGTAGTGGAAGAATAGGAGGAGAAAAAGTATTATGTTGGGTCCATTAAGTGTGAGAAATGAATTAAAAGCTTTCCAAAATAGAAAATGGACCAAGTATTTAAAAACGATCGGAAAAGAAAAGTGGAGCAAGTATTTAAAAACGGAGGGAGTATCTAATGTAACAATAAAATTGTAATTACGTCAGTGATTTTCACATCCGTCAGTTTGAAGATTGTTGCCATTGCGCCACAGAGCGCTCCAATGCCAAAAAACAATATGGCGAGCTGTGAAATGGTTCCAAACGCAGCTTTAGTCTTCCGAATTTGCGTGGCGCTCGGAGGAGGTGGTGCCACCACGGGGAGAACGAGCTCTCCAAAAGCGAAGACGGGAGGTAAGTGAACAAACTTTAGCTCTAACGTTGCTCAACAACGGCTCCCGAGAAGAATCTCCGGCGCCACTCATTGTTGATCGATGATGAAGTTTACTGCACTGTAATGGCGAGAGAATAAAAATCACTGTAATTTTGATATTTTTGGAAAAATGGAGTTGTGGGGTCAAGTTTGGTTGGTTTGGGGTCAAGTTTGAGTTTGTTTGGTTTGGGGTCAAGCTTAACCCGACAGGTTCAGACTGTTTTGGGCACGGGGCTTCCAAACGGAGGTTAATGCATATACACAACTTAGGTTGCGCAAGAACGGGTAGTGACACAGATACGGGTATATATGATATGGATACGAGAAAACGTTTATCTTAAAATAAGGGACATGGCTGTGAAATGTTAAAATTGATATCATATATTTTTAAAAGAAGAATTTTACGATATATTTGTCATTCCGTCATCTTATTAGATCATACTATATATGAAGGCACTCATATTATTTAACAATTAGTTTATTTATCTTACTTTACTTAAATTTTCTTATTTAAAAAAAGTTGAATATCCCCTATAATAGTAGGATACAATTTGAGACGTATCGTCATGTGTCCCACGAGTGTCGGTGTTTGACACGGTGTCCAAGGAATATTATTGGCCTATTATTGGAATGGATATTTGTACGTGACTATTTTGCGTCTTCCTAAAACAAACACTAACTTTTTGGATCAAATTAACCGTAAATTTTTTTTTGGAAACAATCTCAGGATAAGAATAGCCTACCCATGATTTCCTGGGACAAAATTTGTCAACCAAAAGTCAAAGGGGATTAGGTTTAAGGAAAACTAAAGCAATCAACTCTGCCTCTTGGTAATTTAAGTTATTGGAAAATAATCTCATATCATAATAATTTGTGGGTTCGTATATTCGAGCTAAATATTTAAAACATAACTCTTTTTTTGAATGTAAACCCCATGCTAAGTGATATATCTATTTTATATAATGATTTACCCTAAACCAAATGAATACAACTGTAATTAGTAAGCAAATTAAGGGCATTAACATTAAAAAATTAGCACCTGATTATTATGTTGGCTTGGAATAAAAACCAACAACATACCAATAGAGGCAACTCCAAAAGAAAAGGCCCTTTTGTATCCCAAAATTTGAGATTTGTCAACATTTTCTCCCTACCTCCGTTTGAAATGTTTTATGTGGAGGCATGCACCATGCGGATCGTGTATCTGTCTCCACAACCAAACTTTAACCTCCGTTGTGTTACTTTTTACCCTTCAGACCGAAGAAGATTGAGGAATTCATTTTACTACTCCAATTCACTAATTATTTAATCTCCCTCCACCTACTGCCCCCTCCTTCCTCCTCCTCCTCCCTCCTCAACCCACAAAGCATGCAATGCATGGTTAAACAGCCATGTAACTATCTATTTATATAGAGCATATCATAATATCATGGATTCATGGGAGGGAACTCAACGGATAAATTAAAGAAGCTAATCCGATAAGAAAGAGTAAACATGAAACTTATATTTTGTATAGATATAGATACAACAATTGGAGGTATCAAAGAGCACATAATTTTGATATCTAGGCATTTGGCATAATATCAAAAACAATTTTTTGAGAGTTCAACGATTTTCATAATATCTAGACTTAAATTATAATTTAATAAAGATATTTATGCTACTTTTTATATCCATTTAAGAGAGCTAAGAAAACATAATCATCTTTTATTGATCTTCTGGTTACTATGTAGTAATACCAGGGCATAACTAACACTTTGAACAATATTGAAGCTTCCAATTTAAAAAGCCCCGAATTACATTTCACCTATAAAATACTCTAAAGAGTCCAATTCATTAAAGCATTCAAACTTACAAAATACAAATGGCTGCAATTTGGATTTTTTTTTTAATGGCAGCAATTTACAAACTACAAACTTTAAAGGGTTGCGATTGGTAAATTTTCCTTTAAATAGGTGATTAAATATATTTTTTAAAAAAAAATAATAATTAAAAAAAAAAAAAAACAGGCTTGTTAGGGTGGTATAATCCAAGAAATCCAAAATCAAAAGAAGATAACCTTAGCAAAGGCAGTTCAAGAACATGGGAACAGGAAGAATGTTGGGCACTTGGGCTATCCTATTCTCTTATTCACCGTTCCTTTTTATAAGCCTTTAACCACCAACGTGGTGTTCCCCTGATCTTACAGAAATACGGAGTATATATTGTAGCTGACAGTAAACTACTACGAACATTCAGGGCCTGTGCGGATCATAGTAGATACATGTTTAATTATAAGTTTCCAAAAATAGTAAACAAGTAAAAATGATTTCCTCTTTTCTATAGTTATCAAAATTATAAGTTTAATTTTGTAGATACATGTTTGAAAAAACCCACAATAATACCTTTTTAATCTAAGTTAACAATTTAGACAGTTTGCTAAAATTATGCCCCTGTATCAAATATTACATGAAATACTAAATAATTTATTTGAACAAAAGAGGCAACTCATCACTAAATACACATGCCCTGTTGTATTTCTGTTAAAGTAGCAAAACCAGCAACTTCAGGAGGTACATCACATCATATAGCCATCTATGGGAGATGGAGTTTTTTCTGTTTTAAAGTTACAAATATGATATTGTGTTGCCAACAGAGTTTGTATGATAAACTGAAAACGGATAGCTGACATCATGAATAGGTTGCCAAGAGAACTTAACAGCATGTTAGATAATGAGCAGAGAGACGCATCTTGTTGACAGATTTTTCTTGATCAATCCTTAACTGTTGCCTTTAGTATCTTGACATCATGAATAGGTCTGCAACAGCAACAACAAATGACGAGTCATCAGGACATAACAAAAGTAGCAGGATGTGAAATTAAGCGGAGTCAAACTTATAAAGGTGTGCTCAACAAAAAAATTAGTGAGCGACATACAAATTGATATAAAGATATCAATGAATGGATAACATAAGTCAGATGAAGCGATTCTAGTATCTCTTATTTCGTGAGGTAGCTTATAGAAGAGTTAAAGGAGTTTAGCAGGAAAAAAGAGGGTAATTAGATATCTTCTTCCCCACCTAAAAGATCTGATAAGCCATGGCGGTTAGTATGGTGAAGGTTTTTTTTTTTTTTTTTTTCCTTCCCTCCTAAAGGATGAGTAATGGTGCTTATATGGGTTACAAGATACCTTGTCAACCTTTTCATGTTTTTCCTCACATCTCATTCTACCCTCACAAAACCATTTGTTTTGATCTAACTTGTTTCACATGAAAATTTCCACAATATAGTGATGTCAATTACTTCAAATCATATAGCAAAATCATCGACCATAATAATCCACAAACTCCAAGAAATATTAATGAGTCAAGGTACTACGCCTACTAGGCTAGTGCAATATGCATAGGCATAACAAAGCATACAGCTTTCGAAAATTTATCCCTAAATAACACGGCTATTGATAAATCTGAAAGAAAGAGAAACAAAAAAAATAAAAATAAAAGACAAACCTATCAGTATTGTCGGTCTGGACACTGCCAAGCCTCTTAATTATCTCCATTCCCTTACAAACCCTTCCAAATATTGTGTGCTTTCCTAAAAAAACCATTACAATATAACAATATTAGAAATTTTAAGTACAAATACGAATGTAAGATGGAACATATAGTCTTTCAATGAGAGCCCTTCGAGAAAACGATTACTCATAGATATCACTTTTTACATGAATGGTGATTTGATATCAGCTATTCAAAAGGAACAAAGGTGAGAAAAGATAATGACAAACTGTCAAAACTTACCACTGAATACAGCAAACAGAAAACAAACCCTCTCCCAAAATAATATACTCAATAAGAATTTCACATAAATTGTGAAAAGCACATATATATGTCCTAATTGCTCCATGTAAAATAACCAAAAACATACATGGATGTTGCTACGTGTATGGAAATATCTGAACTATGAGTTATGTCTGGACGTTATTTGGGATCTAAATTTTACAGCTAGAAACTCATTTCGAATGAGCTTGAAAACAAATCCTATTAAACTAGGATGTGGCACATTGAAGGTCAAACTGAATATATTGAGATGCAAATATGATCGGCTTGACCCTCAATTTAGATAAAAGCCAAAGACAAACACAAGATACTTTTTTGAAGAGGAAATGGGGTGTTGAATTACCATCAAGAGAGGGAGTAGGAGCTAGAGTTATAAAAAACTGGCTTCCATTTGTATTAGGACCAGCATTTGCCATGGATAAAATGCCAGCGCCAGTATGCTTCAATTCTGGATTTATCTCGTCTTCAAAGCGTTTACTGCAGTACATACAAAATTAGTCAAAACCTGAAAGTGGATTGGTAATCATAAAACTAAAGTGGAGTACCAGTGCACGACCACATTTTTTCTTTATTCATTTATAATCCACCCTCATTTCAGATCAAGGGAATAGCGGTTAGTTAAAGCCTCACTGGCACTATATTATTCTCCAGCAAAAGTGCCATTTAATTGAGAAATTGCCCAAAGAAATAATAAAATATTCTGAATGACCTCCTCCTTTTATATCTACATAATATAACAGCTCAATCATCAAGCAGTATTGCAGTAATGTCAATATGTGGGATTTAAATTATCCTTTTTTAGAGATTTCCCTGATGTGCGCCATAGAATTTTCACATCCACTCCTCTAGGGGAGAGGAATGGCACCATATATTCCTTTAATTATGTGAGTAGTTTGAAACACATTCAAGTGAAAATCCACTTCTCAAATTAACCCACAGATATGACAGAGCATAACGACTTCTTAACTGTTGCATTGGTGGAAAACCCCCAAGATCAAAACTTCTGGTTTTCATCTGAAGTTCAACCACAGATTGCCCCTCTCACCCCCCTCCCTCCATAAAGCAAATTCTGGTTTTTTTCATGAGTTACAATGAACCCAAACCAAAAGGACTTCTCTAACATGTCTTACACATAGGTATTCATCTGTCATAGAACCAACCAGGCAACCACTATACATGACATATCAAAACAAGGTATTACATGAGAACATTGTTACTTGAACTTCTCAATTTCACCTGAATGCCCACGTAAAATTCTCAAAACTCCAAGATGGGTATGGATATACTGACACTTCATTTCGGACCAAATTCATAATTTTTATTTTTGTAAATTGTAGCAGTCGAACACGTGGAGATGTGCCTGTGTCCGACACAAATAGCTGATTTTAAGTAGCGTACAGGCCGTACACAAAGGTGAAAATGGTCAAGTTTGCAAAAACAGAAACGGGACAAGAAAATCTTGACCAAATCAAAATTACACACAGGATTCAGAGGATTGTAACGCTAACCTACTTGTGTATTGGTACGTGTATGGCACAAGGTATTCTGAATTCCAAATATTTGTATACAACTCATACTAGTTTTTAGTTTGTTAAACTAAACCCTTGTTGGATTTTTGAGAGAAATATGAGGTCTGAAAACACATTCAAATTAATTATATGTTGAATCAAGGCAAATGTAAGGACATGGTTCAAAACTTCAAAATACCATACTTAGCAAACTCTTCTCTTCCCAGCCACCGCTCGCCCCGCCCCGCCCCGCACCACCCCACCCCGTCCTCGGCCCCCCACCCTCATGTACCCTAGATTATTAGCTTTATCAAGAACAATATACCAAATTGTCAATTCAAACACAAACCCATAAACGAGTAATACAAAATTAAGAAATTGGAAGAGTAAAGGGCAATACCCATAAATTGATTCACCACCTCTTCCAGTTCCAGTAGGATCTCCTCCTTGAACTATAAACTCCTGCACCCAAAATCATCCCAATTAGAATCTAACCCACCAAAATTAACAGCATAAATCATGAAAATAAATAAGGGTAAGTTTAATACTTTGATGATTCGATGGAATATGACATTGTCGTAGTAGCCTCGACGGGAAAGTTCCAGAAAATTCCGGCATGTTCTTGGGGCATGCTTGTTGTACAGCTAAATTAACATACATATTTTGCGATTAAGAAAGTATTTTGTAAAAAAACACAAAAAACCAGGAAAAATTAGCATAATAATAAAGGCAAGCGAAGATAAAAGAGACAGAAAAAGGACCTCAATAGTGAAAGGACCCATGGAAGTCTGTAGAGTGACTTCCGGCGGCCCATCGTCGGCGGTTGGTCCCATCGGTTGTTTAATTGTTCTGCTTATAGTAAACAACGGCCTTAAGCTAAAAGAGAAGAAAGTGTGTGTGTGTGTTTTTTTTATTGAGGAAAAGAAAGTGTGTTATTTTATCGAAAGTGTTTGTGAGTATTTTGATGGTCTAATTGAATTGATGTACGGAGGAACATGTATATGGGTTCCTATTCTTTTCACCTTAAATTAAAAAAAATAAGCTAAGAGATACGCTTTATGCGTGTACATATAAAAAATTAGAAGAAAAAAAAAATTAACCACAAATTAAAAAAAAAAAAAAAAACTTAAGAGCGGTTTTACAGTTGAAGATATACATTCATGTGAAATAAGTGAAGCAATTATTATAGGGTAGTTATGATAGGTAGTTTTATTTATTTATTTATTTATTTATTTAGGGTTCGTTTTATTGTGGTTTTCTGTTTTTTGGTTTTTGTTTTTTAAAGTATATGATGTATGCCTCATAATGAATCAAAAATTATTTGAACTTATTAAAATCATGATAATTTTGAAAACTGACAATAGAAAAGTGGAAACACCTTTTTCTTGTTTCCTGTTTTTGGTTTTTAAAAAAACAGGAAACTGAAAACCAAAACTGATGCCAAACAAGCTCTTAAATAATGGTTTATATTTATGAGTAGTTATGATTGGATATTTTTTTTAATAAAAAAAATAAGTTTTAATTGTGGGTAAATAATGTAATTTTAAAAAAATAGAAGGGTATTTTAGGAAAAGCAAAATTTATCAACGAAGAAGTGCTTTCTCTTTATAGATTACTATAGATAATACTTCCTCCGTTTTTAAATACTTGCTCCATTTCTATTTTTTGCACTATTCATTTGTCCTACTTTTTGACTAATGTTTGTGATTTATACATAAGAAAAAATATAGTCTTTTGGGTATTTGTAGGAATCATCTCAATAATTAGATTATTAATTTTCAATTGTTAGAATTTATACTTATTGATAATTAAAGATATTAGTGATCAAAGATTAGCATCGGCATGCGTGTCCAAGAGAAATGGAGCAAGTATTTAAAAACGGAGAGAGTATTAATTAAAATAATTTCAGTTCATTAAAAATAAGTTTAGTTCAGTAAAATTAATTTCAGTTCAGTTCAGTAAAATTCAGTTTTCTTAATGAAGAATTATAATAGAAAATTAGTAAAAATAATTTCAGTTCAGCAAAAATAATTTAACTTCAATAAAATTAATTTAAGTTTAGTAAAAATAATTTCAGTTCAGTAAAAATAATTTCATTTCAGCAAAATTAAGGTGAAGAGAACGAGACCTTACTCTTAGTTTGTACCAATGGGCAAAATAGCCCAATCCAAGTTACGATTCGGCATAAAATTTGAATAGTCGATAATCATTAATCAACGACATTTTTAACGGTTGAGTTGATTAGCCAACAACTTTTTATTTGGTTGAGTTGATTAACCTATTTAAGACCTATATCTCTACTTTATTAAAAGTTTAACCAAACGGTTATGAACAATATTAGCGTAGCTCTTTGGTCTCTTTTTTAGCCTTTTCTTCTCTACCTTTTAAAAAAATTGAGGTAACTCTTAAAAATAGTGTTTAGAACCACTTAAAACTAAAGTTATGATATAAAACCAATTAAAAGAGATTCTCGAACAAGACTAGATATGATGTGCGCGAGTTAGCCACCTTAGTTTACCTTAAAAGAACAATCAAACAATGGTTTTTTAAGTAATAATTGATAGGTCTTGGTGCCACGTTTAAAATAATTGTCATTTATAATAACTTAACATTGATGAGTATATGCCTTCCAAATCAATCAATCAATAAATATATACTAAAAGACACACCAGCAATAACACGTGTCATCTTCTGGTGTGTCCTTAGTATATATATTTTTTTTAAAAAAATACACTTTTAAAAAAATTCATAGAGAATATATGCAAATTTTTCTTCTAAAAATTAAGAGAAATAATTATAAAATAATATATTTAGCAACTTAGATATCTAACCATATCTTTATATAAATTCCTTTATAAACAATTACTTTTAAATGTATGATTATTTATAGTAAAAAAATCATGAATATGTATGTTCAAGCTAACATTTAATTAGTAGATGAAAAATTATCAAACATAGAATAAAAAATAATATGCCATTAGGGTTCAAAATATAAAAAAGCTTGAATAAAAAATACAATATGCAATCATAAATGATAAAAAAAATAATATTTTAAGTTGCTTGATTTGGAATAAAATAAGAAATTTTTTTTTGACCAAATTATTTATTATATATTTAAATATAATTTTAAATTAATACACCGTAATAAAGAGTAAAAAAAATCGTGCATGGCATGAGATCTAATTTAGTACACTATAATAAAGAAACCAATGCAGTTGTTTTCAAAAAAAGAAACCAATGCTAAAATTGCTAAAATCTCTTTGAATTTCATCCTAGAAAAATTATGTATGGAGTATAATAGTATATCCATTAGCAGGGCCGGCCCAGAGGGCCTCGAGTGCGACCGCCTAGGGCCCACGTCAGAAAGGGGCCCAAAAATTTAAAAAAAACATAGCTGTAGAATTTTACTCTGTAGTTTTTTACTTGTTAAAAAAAAACTTCTTTTAAAAAGAGAACTAGTGTTCGGCCCGGGAGTTGCTCCGAGTGTTACTTTGAGTATTTTTATCATGATATTATTAAAGACCTTGAAGGAATTTTTTTATTGTTGAAAATTATAATATTACAATTATAATAATAAATACTCGTAGTTTTGAATAATTTTTTCTTTTATTTCTAATATGTATTTATATATTTATGTGCATAGATAGAACAACATTAGCTTATAGCTTGGATGGTAATAAATTGATCTACATTCAATGAGGTCTTGTGTTCAAACCTTATTGTATGCATTTTTGGTTAACCATGACACGAAACAAAAATATTCTAGAAGTACATGTGGTATATTGAATGATGATGTGGCATTATGTTGGTGTAAGAATGAGATACAAGTGGCACATTGACATTTTTAGAAACGCTTTTTATTTTTTAATATATAAGTGTAGATATAAGTATAGTAGTATAGATATAGATTATTGCAATTAGTTAGCAATTAATATTAAATTACTTAAATGACAATTAGGTGGAGATAACAATGCAATATAACATCTTCACTTCTTCTTCTAATCTTCCGATTTTTATGAGTATCCGCTTCAAAATATTAATAATTTCATTACACCGTTTCATATTTATTCAATTACCGCAATATTATGCAAATAAAGTTATTACTGCAGCATTGTGTATGGAGACTTACTATTCAAATAATATAAGCTTTTTCATTGTCTTTTATTAAAGATATTCCGTGTAAAATTTTTTTTTACGTAAAGGGCCCTTTTCTTATATTATGCCTAAGGCCCATAAATTTCCACAAATAGGGCTGTCCATTAGTTTGATACATTGATTGTATTATGTTCATCTAGAGTTTTTAGGTGCAAAACTAGCGGTAGCGGGTTAGAGTAGAATCAGTTTGAACACTTTCATCCATTTGAGGATGACTAACATTCGCAATATTTCGCATAAAGATGGGCATCGTGATGTGCCGTGCTGTCGCGGGCCGTGCTTGGCCTTGCCGGGGTGGGGCTCGTGCCGTGTTGTGCCGTGCCGGCTTGGTGGCGGGCCGTGCCGTGTTGTGCCAAGATTTGGCACACCCTAGCCCACGGCACGGCACGACCCACGTGCTTGGCGGGCCGTGCCATGCCGTGCCACGGGCCACCACGATTTTTTTAATTTTTTTATTTATAAATATATATATACATATATATATATATATATATATATATATATATATATATATATATATATATATATATATTATAAAATTAACGTGCCGGCGTGCCGACGATCGTGCCCATGTCGTTCCATGCCATGCCAATTTTCAATATTTGTGTTCACGGCACGGCCAACGGCCCACAAGTGGGCCTCCGTGCCGGAATCGTGTTGAGCTCGTGCGCCCGCGTGCCGGCACGGCCCATGCCTCGCATGAATTACCTTAATTGTGCTCTACTATTCTACTACTCCATGTTTTTTTTTGTTTGTGTGTGTTAGTGATTCTTAAATATTTTCGTTGGCAATTTGAGAGCTTGTGAATTGAGGATATCTTCAACAAGTCTATGAAGGTTTTGAGTAAATTTTTCACTTTGTAGCTTGTTGAAATCTATTGAGTTTTGAGTGTTAAAGTCATATCATGTTTGTATTAGGTTCTTTCATTGGCACATCAATACTGTTCTCTCACCTCTCACATCTATGCACACCTATGCAAGTTTGTTACATATATATATAATTTTATCGTGATTTAATTATATAAAACTTAGGTCAAATTGTTGTATCGACATCTGTGTAAAGTTTAATTGTGTTAGTTATTCTGAAATAGAGTGAGTAATATGTAGCAATTTAGCATAATGAGCGGTTTAATATTCTGGTCAATATAAATACAGTAATAATGATTGTCAATATTTTAAAATTAAGCTAGGGTCACTATTAGAGGTGTTAAAAAACGTTTTTTTTACACAGTAAAAAAACCTACTTGATTATATTGATACTTGACTGGCCCGACTTGAAAAAAAAAATTATATTCAAATATAGACTAAGTTAAACACAATATTTAGCTTGACTCAAATTAAAAATAGACTTTTCTAAAAAAATATAAATAAAAAAGACTTGACCCGAGCTACATCCGAATGGACACCACTAGTCATTATGTTCAACATAATGTCGATTGGCACATATGAACCTTAGGTCCGCACAAGTTTTTTTTCTTCTCAAAAACCCAGAAAAATTGCATAAATTGCCTAATTTGTTTTTATAAAAATTCTGCTTTAACTTCCTAATTCCTCATAAGTTACCTAAATCTCATCTTAGATATCATATTATCATGTATTCCTAAAAGATTTATTTTACTTAGGGTGCGTTTGGTTGGGGGTATTCATCAAAGGGAATGGGAATCAACTGTCCCAATTCCCTTTATTGTTGTTTGTTTGACATTTTTTTCCATTTTCTTTACCCCCTCTATTACCCCAAATCCTTCCAACTTCATTCCCTACCCCCCTAGTCTTTTCAATTCCCCTTCCTTAGCCACCACAACACCACCACC